GGTTGTAAAGTCTCGTAGAGGTGTAATCGGGCATGGGCGGTAGTGAAACAGGCCAGTACCACGTTTCCGAAGGGACACTCTTCCACGAATTCCTGTTTCTCTTGATAATTGACCAGCATCATGTCCGATTCGGCCTGCTCTTTATTTTCTAAGAGTTCTATCCCTTTGATGTCAATGGTCGAATCTTGTAAGAGTTGTTGTAATTCCTCTTCTTCGGTCAAGTATCGAGTTTTAGGTAATAACAGGCGTTGAGCGAATTTTCCCCACAAGCAATTTAAAAAGAGTTTGGCTATCGTTCTTAGCACCGGATTTTTTTCTATACTTAACAGGTCCATCCTGATCCCTTCTCTGTCTAAGACTTTACGAATGTAATCTAGTTTCTGTTCCTCCGTCTGACAATCAGGTGGGAATCCAGAAGCTTCCTGTTTGATCTTTAAGAAGGTATCGATGTAAGATCTGAATAAATCTCGACTGCTTTCTGAAAAATGCCAAACTTCGTAAATCCGCTCTAAGGTATATCCCATGTCCAGGGCTTTATGTAATTCTGTAGTCACCCAGGTACCCGTAAGACTGCGTTCCTGGTCTGCGTGTTGACATCGATGTTTAGAGGTAGAGTCCTGTCGTTCCGCACACGTTCGACATAAGGGAAACAATAACTTGCCTCCAGTGCGATAAGGTAAAACGGGGTGATGGAGGCCTCGGGGTGGTAGGACCCGACAGTGAATGAGGCCGAAATAAGTTCTCACCTCCTGGAATTGGTCTGTTATGATCTGAGGATGGCCTAGGGGGAAAGGTCTGTGTTTTAATACGTAAGGGTATAAGGAACAGACGTCCACGTATCTCATGTCCCCCTCCTCACAATATAATTTAGTGGCATTGGTCCGACCTCCGTACAGGGCGTCTCGGGGGTTCAAAGGATCTGGAATGTCCAGGTCTCGTACATAATTCTGTAGAGTTACCTCTCTTTGTACCTGTTGATCGAATTCGTGCTCCCAGATGCTACGGAGGGAGTACCCCATTTCCTCTAAAACAGAACTCCGTCTTAAAGTTTCCTCGTGTAATTGTTCATAGGTAAATTGGGTCCGGTGAGGATGACTTTCGGTCTGTAAATTAGGATAGCAGGTGGGGCATCCGTGCCAATAGCATCCGTAAAATTCGTAGACGGTGCGAGTGGCTTCCTGGTATCCGTCGACGGTATAACTTCCGATCTTGACTTCTCCCCCGTTTCTAGCATGTTGGATGTGAGATCCGGTCTGGTGACTCATCCAGCTTAACCACCGACAGGCTTTGGCGGAATATCGACGCGCAGGCTGATACCCCAGGTTGGGAACGATAGCAATGGTCTCTTTGGGCATGAATCCTCGACGGTAGGCTAAATTGGCCGCACTGGCAAAAGTGATGGATTCCTGGAAGGGGTCTACATGGACCAAGCTCTTGAGGGTGGCTCTAAACTGAGCACAGCATCGTCGTAAAATATCGACGTCCGAGACACAGTACTCTAAAAATTCCTTCTGGAAGTCAAACACTTTTCCGGCTTGTTGTTCGTACCATCGGTAAAAAGCCTGTCGTCCACTTATAGACATGTCGTCGGGATTGTAGTAAGCTGCCGGTGGATAAGGCCCCACGTAATTCTGGTTGTGTTCCGTATTAAAAAAGTGTGGAAAATATCCTTTCTTCAGTTCGGTGAATCCGAAAGCAGAGGGCATCTTGGACAGGGCAAAAGGTAAAAAATTATAGGAATCGATGAATTTCAGTCCGCAGATTTGCATGGATAAGATTTTACTGCCGTTCATGATGACGGTAGGTTTCAGGCAGGCGGAATGAACCAGGTAATTTAAAATGAACTGTCCGTCGTATCCTTTGAAATTGTGGGCGATGATGATGGCCTCGTCGTGTAATAAGGCGGAATTCTTATTTCCTGTAGTGGGTTGTAATAACCAGTCCATGAACTGCCTTAAGGTCTCTGGCCCTCGGAACACGTGTTGACGGGGTCCCATGTGTCGACAGTGAGGACAGGGATCTTCTATGGGTAAGTGACCGCAATGTTGACATACGCGGTGTGCCACACACAGGTTAGGGACGTGGATGCCGGTTTCCTGCGTACATTCGAAATCGAAATAGATGTAGAACTGTAAGGTCTCTTTGCCCTTGTTTTTCTTTTTCTCGGGCTTGAGTTGAACGTAGCACTGATGATCCGTGTCTACGGTTTTCTTACAGATCTTACATTGTTTCTGTCCTCCGCAATGATGATGAGGGAGTAATTTTTTAGGCATCCATTTGTGACAGTGCTCACATCGTCCCATTAAACTGCATACGGTGGTGGCCGTATTCTTACTGTGAGGTTGTAAATGGTTTTCGTAGCAAGTTCTGCTCTGAAAAAATCCCTGGCACTGGCTACATTGAATGCGGCTCCCGTCTGGAGGGCAGGGCGAGTCGGTTAAACAAAAGGAACATCGGTGAGGACACTGGGTACGATGCTCTGTGATGTTCCTGTACCCCACGTCGCAATGATCACAATAGTATTGATTGCCCGTCACACCAGGCATAGATATGATGGCATCGTAATGATAGTCGTCTAACAGGACATTCAAACAAGTTCCCTCTCCGTAGCCTTTGTAAAGGGGCTCTAAACTGAGTTTAGAGGAGGTGGACTTGAACTGGAATATTTTCAGTCGATAGCATGGGGCTAACACTTGTTGTAATTTTCCCCATTCTTCGGGTCCACAAGGCTGATGGATATTACACCCGGCTTGTTCCATGAGAGCTATAGCTTCGTTTTTCTGGTCATTAGCTCTTACATCTCCTTTCCGCATACGTATCCATCTTTTTTCCCATTCAACTAAACTCTCTGGATGTTCCGGTTTTTGACTGTGTAACCGGGTGACTACGATGGCTCGAGCTAAACAAAATTTATCCCAAGGATTGTCGATCTGAACGACGGATTGTTTCCTCTTCTTAAAACTCTCCTTGTTCACCATCAGATGTTTGGTTTTGTCTCCACCACTCCCTTCCGGATATTTGACCCGAAACATGTCGAATTCCATGGCCCCGTCTCCCAGTTTAAAATCTTTCTTGGATTGTTGCACGGCTTCTATTTTGTCTAAAATGAGGTCCTGGTTCAAATGTTTACATTGCGTAAACTCGTACCAAATGTCGGAATCCAGAGAAGGATGGCGTATGTTCAGGCGTACGTAATCGTTAGGATTACACTGCAGTTGATATTTGACATTTTGTAGCATGTCTCTAAATAATCGCCGAACAAAGCCTCTGTTTTCCTCCTCTGGAAATTCCTTAAAATTCACAGTGTAGACGTCTTCTTTAGCTTTAAATTTTCTGGAATGCTTGGCTTGATTCAGTCTCACTTGATAATATTGGGAAATGGCCTTTGGCTTCTGGGGTGGTGAATGGGCTGGTGAGTGTGGTTCTTCATCCGACAGAGTCCTTTGTTGTTGTTCTTGTTGGACTTGGGCTCTCTGCATTCTCTCTAATATTCTGGCATTTCTTTTTCTGAGCGCTAATTCTCTGTGTTTATTGTTGTAAATAATTCTTTCTAACTCTTTGGCCCGTCTTCTCCATCTCATCAGTTGCTGGGCATGTAACAGTTTTTTCATAGCAGAATCCATGTCGACAGCTGATGGAACTGACAACAGAATGAGCTTCACGTCAGACACATGCAATACTTATACAGTGTATGACGTCATAATGGCTAGGTTTTTCCAGGTGAGTGCTGAGCACGTGCAGGTTTTTCCAGATCTCTGACCTTGACCCCGGGGGTGTACTGAGTTGACCCCCCCATCCCCCAGGGCCCAAAAGTGCACTCAGTTGACCCGCCTAGCTAGGCTGCTTATACTACTCAGGTTTAAGGGGATGAAAGACACATGGTCACATGACTCTGTTTAACTACGTCATAGTCTCTGTTTATATAAGTGCAAAACGTGTAAAGCATCAGTTCTTGTATAATTTTTTGACAATTTTTTAACTTTAATTACCATCTTATATGAAAAAAATAAATAAGAAAGTTTTAACATTCTTGTAAACATTAACAAATTATGAAAAAGATTGATTCACTCCTCTGTTTCCCTAAACTGCGCGTTCAACAAGTCAGTGACGTCATACACGATCTGTTAGTACAGCAAGATCATATTCGGTGAACACAGGGGCGGTATTATTATGTAAAAACAGGTCATAATCAGTATAATTATGATGAAATATTTTGAGAAACGGGGAACACAAAAATTATTTTTGCATGGCTGATGACGGAAATCATATGTAGGTATATCTTATTTCGCTTATTTAGCTTACGTGTGACGTCATAGTTGGTTTTTCCCGTACTCGAAAAATGTAACATGGCACGTTTTTGTCATGCTTATTTCCTTTTTAACGATGTCCTGTGAAATAATGAGGTCAGCTTCATCATTCGAAATTTTTACAGTTAATCAATAATTTGAAGGATTTGCATTTCAACGTAAATTAAAAATATTGAATGATAGAATTTTTTGAAAATTACGTTTTTAATTGTTTAAGTTGTCTTAAAAAGTGCGTAATTTTCCCTATCCAGATGCAGTGTGATAAACAAAACTTGCTTTTTCGAATTTTAAATCCTAGTTATACTCTGAAATAATTTAAAAGATACATGTCCACTTTGATATTTTTTATATATGCTTAAAAAATCCCATTATAGACAGAGTAATGAGCCCGGACACATGGAGAATTAAAACTCCACTTAGATAGGGTAGGGTATAGTATTTGTCAATCGATATCTCCAAAATAAGGTAAGAAACCTAATGATATAACTGCTTTAAGATATGTGGGACATACTTAATTAGAAATATACAAAATATGAAAAAAAAATGAATGACAAGTATTTTTTCAGCTCAAGGTCCTTCTCCTCCTTAAGGCAGCTTAAAGATATAAAAATATATTAAAGACCATTTTAAGCTGCCTCTGAGCCACTAGCAGCCACCTTTAAGCCACATTTCATTAGTAAAATATTAAGGTACCCTGTGTTTCTCACAGACGCCGCCGGCTTTTGTCAAGGACGCCACCCAAGCAAGGCCAAGGACACCGCCGTCAAAGTCACGGTCAGCGAACATGTAGGACAGGCAAAAATTGTCGTAGTTGTCCGAGGAATGGAGGTCAAGAAACTTCTCAACGCTGAAAGCGCCATTCAATTTATACCCTGGGGCGTTTGGGTCCGTATGCACTTTCATCCTCTTTACTTGAAATCCGATGTTGTCAGCGTTACCGTTTCCATCAAAATCTACATGTATGGAGAATTAACTCTAGCTATAAATAGTATACGCACCTCTTTCCCAACTTTCTAGCGTAATATATTAATTTTAGCGCATAGAGACCAATAACAAAATGGTGAAATAGTGAAGAAGTACTATGATTTTTTTTTTACATCCATTGGACCTATATAAAATTATATTTCTGACAGAAGTCAGGTTTAAGAACTCAAAGGATTATACAAAGAAAATGCTGCTTAAATAAGTGTACGTAGAATTTTATTTCATTATCTTTGATAAAGATGGATCTTATTGTTAACTATATGTGTAATACATGTAATACATATAAGTTGTCTAAGGGCTTTCCCGGAAATCCCTGTTCAGAAGCTGTCTTCTAACACATTTGGTAAGATGACAATTGCTGTCATATAACTATAAATGGTAAGATGTTCAGTGACGTCATATGTTTATACCGTGTAATTTATCTTTAATGGCATTACAGGATAGACGTTACTAGTAACTGATGTCATAAATATGTGATGTGAAACTTACCTATCGGTTTAAATATATTGTTAATCGCTTGAACGTAAACACCAAGTTGGGCCACTACTGTGTCTACATTGCTACTGAATTTCTGGTAAAAAGTATGATCCGCCTGCATATATAGAGAACAGATAGTCTTTGCTGGGTCAACTGCTCTTTTCCGGCGTCCTTGTGATTCTGCGTCAAATGTATATCTGTTTTGCCATTGGTCAGCTTCTCGGTGGACAGAGAAGGGAATACTTTTCATGATTCTCTCTCTAGTGCTATCGGCGTGACAAAATGATGACGTCATATTACGATTGACGTCTTTCAAAGTGTAAATAATGGAATGAAATGGTTGGGGACGTTTGAAGTATAATGTCGAAGGTTCAACAAAGTAGGTCATATCTGTGGTGTGGATTTGTCCTTGAAAATGCCCTTCCGAATTAACTAGGCCATATACGTTAGAGTGTTCATCTGAAAAGGTTAAGGCAAAGGGAACAAGTCTATTATTAACCAATCACTAAACATCACCTTCACAACGTCAGGGGTCATGAGGCCACGTGATCGTGACAGTGGGGTCCCTGACAAACTTGATTTGCTTTTTTAAGGGTCAGCTCTTCTCACCGAGAGGCTCCAATCAAATCGATGCTTTTATAAGTCGACAAAAATGTGAACAGAATGGAAGTAGGTGACACCTTGGTGCACGAGTTATACGTTGTCATCAAAATGCTTAATGTGATTGGTCGAAAAATGAGGAAAACAATTTTTAATCCCTATACTAAAAAGAACCTCTCCACAGCCGGTCCGTAGCAAATGAATGAAGTTTGTCAAAAGTACCACAGTCACGTGGCCTCAGGACCCCTCATGTTGTATGGATGATACAACCCAAAGATCTTGTAAACTGCAAGCATGTTTTTATAAGGCATGTTGTCTTAGATAAGACTTAGTGTAGATTTTAATTGCAAATTTACACTGAAAAAAAAGCTTAGCCATTATTTCATTATGATTACCTTTGAGAACACCGGTGTATAAAAATGATGTATCGATGTCAACTGGACCGTTACTGTTCTCTATTGTGACGTCAGAGTGAAAAACATCAGTATCACGTTTTAAACGAACCTTGAAATGTCTTAAAAATAAAGAAAATCAAATAGACATATATTTAAGAAATAAATGAATAAAATCAGGAACGTATTTTTCCATTTTTTTAAGGAGTTTAAAAAAATATGTTTGTCAAACAAGCTCACCTGTTGTATGAACTGAATTCAAATTCCATCGTGTGGATTGATGATCTGCGCATGCGTTCGTGTTGGTTTTTGAGGTGATGATGATCGTAATGTAAGGGTCGATAATCGTGAAGTATGTGCTTAATGGGAGATAACTCTGTAATAAGCCAAACTCATTTTAATAATCTAAACCTCTGCATGAGTTAAACAAAATCCGTTTTTATATACTAGTACATCTTTAGTTAGTTTTTGCTGCAGACAGCCTCGCCTCTACCCCCTTACACACCCACACGGATGGTTTTATTTAAAAAAAAATAAAATAAGTGAAACAGAAAAATGAGGAAAACCAATCTATGAAAAAGGATTGAATCGTGCAAATGATATTTTTGTATAAGGAATAAAAAATCGGAATCTTACCGGAAATGACTGGTGCAATGAAGACAGTGATGATGACGTGATAACAGCTTCCGGTGATTTGAGATTTCATGGTGAACTACTGTCGTTGTTTGTTTATTAAATCACATCATTATTTCATTCAGTGCTGGAATCCCTCTCCATACAGGATCTTTCCATCACATAACTAGGTCAGCCTGACCTAAATGTCAAAAATTTAGTGACTCGACCTAATTTATTTCTCTTTGAAGTAAAATTTGGTGAAAACCTGTTCCTAATTGTAATTTCTGCTATAATCCATTGATATACGAGGTATAAAATTATTTGTTCGTCTGTCGGTTTATATGATATAAAATTTAGCTCATCTATAAATGTGAGTGCAAAACTTAAACAACTGAAAAAGATCTGACAACATAGAAAATTTCAGTTTGTTATTATTTCTAGAAGACCAAAACTTTTACGACTGATGAAGACCAAAACATTTATGACTGGTGATGACATGGGTTTTTTTGTTCCATTTGGTCCTAAATCGTTGTAAATATGCAGATGAATTCCTTAAATGAACTCAAATAAATTTTATAAGGGTATATATAATAAACAAGTACTTAATGCTACATAAATCAAGGATACATAACAGGTAACGACTGTATACCATACTTTTGTGAATTTCTTTTTTCATAGATCCGGAAAACAAAATGCTATCTTATCATTGATTACGATCGGTACCTAAACCAAAAACAGAATTTCTCTGTACGTATACCAGATCTAGGTAAATATTCCACCACATGTGTTTTAAGACCCTGAATGTATGGAGATTATTAATATAAACTCTGGGTATCTTGAATTCAGTCGAGGTGATGATAACCTTCACAATACAAACACATTTTTCTGCCCTGAAATCAATACAGATTTTCTGAGGTTTAGTGTTCCCTATTGAGAAGTGTCAAGTTAGCACTGTTTTCTACACGATCTGAGGGATTGCCATGAATAAAGGGCTCTAAAAAATTACCAGGAAAAGTTCTTTCCAACTTAAAAGAAAACATTGTGATGTGGTTAATGAAAGAACAAGTAAATTAACTGCGTTATTACTTTAAAGAATAGTCACAGTATTTCGGAAATTCCTGAATCCTCCACTTGTTTTCAGATAATATCTGTTTACCAATCACGCATTACTAGACTAATGACTCAAAGTTTGTCTAGTAGAAGGGATAAAAAAAAATCACAATCTCTCAATGCCTGAAGTTTTTAAAATTTTATGCTGCATTATAGGGTTTTCTGGCATTGAGAGCAAATAGTTGGTTAGATATATCGAAGTAAATGTGACGTGTTTTTGACAACTTTATTTCAAATTAATTTAAATAACATGGTGTGATAGGTCTATATATTTAAATGACACCTTTTTATTTATGCTTTTTACACACTAGATGTATGTAGTTTAAAAAAAAAGAAATTAAACAACTGATTGAAATCAGTTTCCTACAAAAAGAATGTTATCTTTAAATGCCACGATCATATACAACTTTCCAATTTTGTTCCGCTTCAGTGTTATTTGATATGAAGGAATTTATATCCAATATTCATGCCTGAAATCCTAAAACTCATCAAGCTACGTACAGAAGAAAGACAGATCGATTTTTATTTCAATTGTTAAAAAGTTTTTTTTTAAGTTTCAAGAGAAATTGAAAAAGAATTCTTTATATATGAAGACTTTTTTTATTTATAAGGTCAGAATAAATCGGGTAATCTGTGGACCTGTGTGAGCCATTTCTTCAGAGAGACAGAGAGAGAGAGAGATTTCTAATTGTATATGTACCACAGTGTATAGCTATTTTTGTAATTGCAAATGTAACAGGGAGAGTAACTAGTATTAAATATCATAAATTGAATGTAACATTTACTGTAATTATATACTTAACAGTGTGTGTAACTATTATTGTAATTGCATATGTAAAAGGGTAACTATCATTGTAATTGTATATGTAACAGTGTGTGTAACTATTATTGTAATTGTATATGTAACAGTGTGTGTAACTATTATTGTAATTGTATATGTAACAGTGTGTGTAACTATTATTGTAATTGTATATGTAACAGAGAGTGTAACTATTATTGTAATTGTATATGTAACAGTGTGTGTAACTATTATTGTAATTGTATATGTAACAGTGTGTGTAACTATTATTGTAATTGTATATGTAACAGAGTGTAACTATTATTGTAATTGTATATGTAACAGAGTGTAACTATTATTGTAATTGTATATGTAACAGAGTGTAACTATTATTGTAATTGTATATGTAACAGAGTGTAACTATTATTGTTATTGTATATGTAACAGTGTGTGTAACTATTATTGTAATTGTATATGTAACAGAGTGTAACTATTATTGTAATTGTATATGTTACAGAGTGTAACTATAATTGTAATTGTATATGTTACAGAGTGTAACTATTATTGTAATTGTATATGTAACAGTGTGTGTAACTATTATTCTAATTGTATATGTAACAGTGTGTGTAACTATTATTGTAATTGTATATGTAACAGTGTGTGTAACTATTATTGTAATTGTATATGTAACAGAGAGTGTAACTATTATTGTAATTGTATATGTAACAGTGTGTGTAACTATTATTGTAATTGTATATGTAACAGTGTGTGTAACTATTATTGTAATTGTATATGTAACAGTGTGTGTAACTATTATTGTACTTGTATATGTAACAGAGTGTAACTATTATTGTAATTGTATATGTTACAGAGTGTAACTATTATTGTAATTGTATATGTAACAGAGTGTAACTATTATTGTAATTGCATATGTAACAGTGTGTGTAACTATTATTGTAATTGTATATGTAACAGAGTGTAACTATTATTGTAATTGTATATGTAACAGTGTGTGTAACTATTATTGTAATTGTATATGTAACAGAGTTTAACTATTATTGTAATTGTATATGTAACAGAGTGTAACTATTATTGTAATTGCATATGTAACAGGGTAACTATCATTGTAATTGTATATGTAACAGTGTGTGTAACTATTATTGTAATTGTATATGTAACAGAGTGTAACTATTATTGTAACTGTATATGTTACAGAGTGTAAGTATTAATGTAATTGTATCTATAACAGAGAGTGTAATTAGCATTGTAATTGTATATGTAACAGAGTGTAACTATTATTGTTATTGTATATGTAACAGAGTGTAACTATTGTTATTGTATATGTAACAGAGTATAACTATTATTGTTATTGTATATGTAACAGAGTGTAACTATTATTGTAATTGTATATGTAACAGAGTGTAACTATTGTAATTGTATCTATAACAGAGGGTGTAACTATTATTGTAATTGCATATGTAACAGAGTGTTACTATTGTAATTGCATCTATAACAGAGGGTGTAACTATTATTGTAATTGTATATGTAACAGAGTGTAACTATTGTAATTGTATCTATAACAGAGGGTGTAACTATTATTGTAATTGTATATGTAACAGAGTGTAACTATTATTGTAATTGTATATGTAACAGTGTAACTATTATTGTAATTGTATATGTAACAGAGTGTAACTATTATTGTAACTGTATATGTAACAGAGAGTGTAACTATTATTGTAATTGTATATGTAACAGTGTGTCACTATTATTGTAATTGTATATGTTACAGAGAGTGTAACTATTATTGTAATTGTTTATGTAACAGAGTGTGTAACTATTATTGTAATTGTATATGTAACAGAGTGTAACTATTATTGTAATTGTATATGTAACAGAGTGTAACTATTATTGTAATTGTATATGTAACAGAGTGTAACTATTATTGTAATTGTATATGTAACAGAGTGTAACTATTATTGTAATTGTATATGTAACAGAGTGTAACTATTATTGTAATTGTATATGTAACAGAGAGTGTAACTATTATTGTAATTGTTTATATAACAGAGTGTGTAACTATTACTGTATTTGTATATGTAACAGAGTGTAACTATTATTGTAACTGTATATGTAACAGAGAGTGTAACTTTTAATGGTGTAATTTTATATGTTACTGAGAGCGTAACTTTTAATGATGTAATTGTATATGTAACAGAGTGTAACTATTATTGTAACTGTATATGTAACAGAGAGTGTAACTTTTATTGTAATTGTATATGTAACAGAATGTAGCTACTTTAGTTACTGTGTATGTTACAGAGAGCGTAACTTTTAATTATGTAATTTTATATGTAACAGAATGTAACTACTATAGTTACTGTATATGTTACAGAGAGCGTAACTTTTAATGATGTAATTGTATATGTTACAGAGAGGGTAACTTTTAATGATGTAATTATATATTCCACTGAGAACATATCTTTCTTACTCACGCTAGTTTATTGATTTTTTTTTTTACCATTGATTCACAAATCAATTAAATGCTGTGTAGAATTATTCTAATCAAAGTTCCTAGATATTTTTATACAGAGTTGGTGCATTAGACATTTACACCTATGTAAACAAAGGACTCCTCGAAGCTTTTAAGCTAATTTTCATCAATCTCAATACCAAGTCAATTTAATGACTTTTCAATAACATGTAGCTTATTTGTACTAATTGATTAAGTATAACCACTGAGCAACTATAAACCTCTTGATCTTTTTTCAGGTTTTTTTTAAAGTCATCGATAGACAAGCACCGACTTCAGAGATTCTAAGAATGGGTTACTGATCATCTTTTCCTGTTAGAGATGGGATATCGATCTAGATCTGGTCCAGGTGACCTCACAAACGAACTATGCAGAATCTACTAATAAGCTTTAAGGATGATTTGGAATTTTACATATTTAAAAATTCTTTTTTTTTTCTATTTATAATTTATATTTGTCCTTTTTTACTTAATTATTTTTTTTATCTATTTATTCGATCTTTGCTTGTATCTGTGTGTTTTTTTAAATAAGTTTTTTAGCTTGTTTCTACATGTAGTTTGTTTTTTATTTACAGTTTTTATGTGTTGATATGAATTTATTCCAAATAATTACAAGCACTTTCTTTTCGAATTCCATGATTTTTTGCTTTAAGAGCATGATATATTTACTATTACTTTTCACCCTCCAAGAGACAACATATAGGTTTACTTTGATAGAAAGACAATAATCAAAGCCTTGACGGTTTTAATAATAGATGGTACCCGGAGGAAATTAATGAAGCGCTTATAAACTCGGTCAAAGTAGAGAGCTCAATTAACACAGAATCTGTCTAGGGAGGCAGAGCGTTTATTTGATGTATAACGTATTGAGAAATGTAGTCAGACATGACATTTCTCATACCTTGTGCTTCAACTTTGACGCTTTACATGTACATACAGTTACAATGAAGGACAAAATTATTCCCATCTATGCTGCAGAGATCACAAGAGGACAGACTCGGTTCTGTAATCACCAATAGATTGCAACTATTCACAAAGGGAATATTTAAAGTCTTTTTTCCAGAGAATTGCATGAAATATTCCCGTACAAAATGATAAAGTTATTACGTACATGTCTATAAAAATTTGTTTTAAATTTTTTTTTGCAATATTTCCTTTGTGAACCCCCCCCCCCTTACCAGTCTCAGATTGATCCATCTACACCCCCCCTTCAACATGTGTCCTCTACCAATTTATCGGTAACCATAAATATTAATTGTCATAAATTCAAGTGTCCCTATTTTATGACCGTCTCGATATCCCCGCACTAAATATCGGTTCAACACAAATAGGACTTCATCCCTGTCTCCTGTCTTTTTAAAAGAAGTACATGTATGCGTGGGTAATATGTAATTCATAATTATACAAAAAATTGATGGTTAGTTGTATCAATTAAATAACTCATATGTAACATTAAACTCATAGCTTAACACTCTATAGGTCTCTGTAAAGCTGGTATCCCCCCTCGGTCTGCCATCACTCCCCCACCCACCCCCATCCCACCCAGTGATTCCTCATATATACATGTATAAAGGTCAAAATATCAGTTCGGTCCTTATTTCTGTTTTTAAATGAATAATTGTTTAAAACAGATTGATACGCAGTTTTACAGTATAAGTGGGGAAAAATTAATTTAAAAAAAAACGTCCAAAAAAAATCCAAGGACATCTATTTCTGCTATACTTCCCTTTACAGGTATAAGCCACTCAATAATGTATAAGACACTCTCTTACCTTCTGTGTGCGTGTCCTTGCTGTTTGTAGATATCCCTCCCTAACAGGTGCCCGTTATACCCCCTCTCTCTCCTTTAGTGGTCAATCTATAATCCCACACAATATCTCGTTTTTATTTCCCAGGTTTTTTTTCTCTCTCTCTTCCTTTCTCTCTGCTGACTGAGATCCGGGTATCCCTATATCGATCTATCCGTAATCTGATTTATGACAATACTCAACATTTCAGGTGAAACGCGCGACGAAGCAGTTATCTAGAAAACAATGGCGCGGTGATCGTTTATTTCAGACTGGGGGGGATTTAAATCTCAAAGTATTGTTCAGCTTTACTGCTTCAGGTAGAATTCCCTTTTCTTCTCCTCTTTTAAAAAACGCATTTCTAACATTGGCCAGTGTACGATATAGGCGATACAACTCCGTATTGAAAAATTTTAACAGTCATAGAAATGGTTCGCCCTCACGAGTTACTCCGCTTTGTTTGTAATGGAGACGGAATCACGGAGAGCATACGTAATAGATACTCATTATATTATTATATTCAACTCCTTCAACAACTGGGTTGTGTTTGGGGTTTACCGACACCCTTCCACACAAACGCAAAATTAAAAACATTTTGATAAAGGTACAATGAATACTTAAGCACATATCAATTTTATGGTACATGTATTTTCAACAAACTTTCACATTTATCAGACCTTCGCTCGAATATGCTTCTATTGTTTGGGGTGGCTGCTCTAACCTTGATGCCGAAAAGCTTGAAAGAGTTCAACCATTGTTACTGGACTTCCTATTTTTGCGTCTAAAGAAATACTTTACTCTGAAACTGGCTGGGAAACTTTAAAATTTAGGCGCTATGTCACAAAAATGACTACTATACATGTACAAAATTCATGATGGTTGTGTACCTGAATATTTGAGTGATTTTGTCCCAAACAAGCGTGAAAAAAATATCAAAATATAATACCCGTAATAAAGAACAATTCACTGCTCCAAGATGCAATATTATTTAAAAGGTCTTTTATACTCGATCCTGTGAGACAGTGGAATTTATCAAAGATACAAACGAGAGAAGCCATCTCACTCAATACATTTCGTAGAAGTAAAAACATTCCGCAATCTATTTTTCATTTTGTAAACGTTATACAAATATAAATCATACTAAATTTAGACATAATTGTATACTTAACTATGATCTACAAAACGAAATATTATTAACAGTCCTTTATGTTTATGGAGGAAGCATGAAGATGTTAATCATTTCTTTTTTGCCTGTAGAAATTATTCAAACGCTAGAAAAAGTATTTCTAACCGCCTATTCATATTTGAGGAATTGGTCACTATTGACACAAATTTGTTGAATTATTAGGTGATGTAAATTTGCCTTTACAAACTAATATCAATATCTTTGCTGCTGTGCATACATTTATTGCATGATGAAACCTGTAGAATTTAAATTGCTATGTTATTTAACAGAATTTTCACTTGTATCACCTGTTAAATTTATATTTCTATGTACTATTTCAAGTGCATGACATATTGTTATATTTAAGGAGAGGAACCAGAAACCAGTAATTTGTAGGAACTTGTTTTAAATCCTCTTCATTCATTCAATAAAATATGTTCAAAAAATTTTTAAGAAGTAAATTTCTGTTTTCTTTTACCTTTTTAAAAAGTCACGCCTCCCAACGCAAATGGAAATACTGGACTTTGAAAAAAATCTCAATCAAATTTTATTTATTTAATTTTTTTCTAATATTTTTTATATGTTGCGTATATTTCTGATAGGTTTTAAAAATTAATTCTTGAAAATAAGGGTGTGGAGAGGGGGCTGCAAAATAAGAACTTGATTCCCACCCCCAAGGAAAAAAAAATCCTATATTTTGTATCGGTCGTGATGATGTGCTGTCATCTCCAGCAGACAAGCTTGTGAAACACTCGTAAATGTTGATCAAAAGAAGCATTCTGAGAATATTGCATTAGCAATACTAGTCCCCTACCGGCAAGTGTAATCTGGTTCCCGTTAAAAATTGAAAATGCCATTAATTCCGTCAGAAATCAATGAAGCGGAACGAAATGCAAACTTGATCTATAACTCATCAAGGTAAAGTCACATACCAAAAATCAGCTCAATATCTGCAAGTGTTCAGAAACAGATACCTAAAAGACATTTTAAAAATAAGATAAAACACCAAATGGATAAATGGATGTCAGATTGAAGTTAAAATTGTCAAAATCAAAAGAAGTTTTTACATCGGCAACGATGATGAAATTAAGCGCTCAAAGAACAGTGTTTGGGAGAGAGGGACAAACTTCATACATTTCTTTCGAGATGATATTAAATACTTAAAGCTTTCAGTGTCTCAATTTTCGGAAAATTAAAAATATTCTTCAAAATAAAAAAAAGTTGCAGATAACTCCCACAAATATATGGAGTACTTTCTTAAAGTATAACTACATATACACCTCTTGTTTTGTTATTAGTTGTTATTAAGTAACAAAACTTGTTCTCCCCTCTTCTTCCTTATTGATGACCTTTGACCCCTCGGAAACACGGACGTCCCACGTCAGTTCGTTGATGGATGTCCTTGAGGTCACGTGACACGTTCGTATACCTTCAGTCATCCATAGTCGTCAATAACACATATATAAAATATATTTATCGGTAATTGTTCCTCAACGCTCGGCTTAGCTCGGAATCTTTTAAACTTCTGAATAAGCTACTGTATATATACAAAAAAAAAAATCACGTCTTTGAACAGCTGACTGGATTTTAAAATTAACACTTCAGTGTTGTGGTTTCTAGAGAGCGGAGTACAGTCTTTTTATAATACACTGACGACAGTTCTGTTTTTTGTGAGTTTTGTATTTTTGATGACAGTGGAATATCACCTTTAACAGGTAAGACATAAACACGGTACGTCATGAAAGTCAGTGGTAGTTCTGTCCTAGTTCACTAAATCGCATGTCTTTGTGTTCATGTTTTAGTATGTAATTTAAGTTCAGTACTAACGCATTCGACCATATCTGATGTTTTTCTTTCTTCATAAAAAAAAGAAAGAGAAAGAGAGGAAGAAAGAAAGATATTTACGAAACATATTCCGAGATGATTAATTCTATATGCATATCCATGGTTATTAATCAGCGGCAGGTACGCGTTTTATACATCCGACGAGAACTTGTTAACTAATTAGTACTAATTATCATACAGGTGTGAGGGAGCCCGACGGCCAAAAGTTTTACCTTTTTTTTTGTCTAAAACAAACTACAAGCTACATAAGTTTACAGCCTCGATACAAGAATAACAGACGAAGCTGAATTCCTTTAATATAACAAAATTCCAGCCGCCACTGATAATCCACCAATAAATCTTACAAAATATCACTTACAAAACACAGGTAAAAGCGACATGCAATTCAGGCATCTGTGGGACTAGGTCAACATTTGTGTTGAATGTTAGTCTTGTCACCCCCCCCCCCCAACAGTGCATTTACTGTACCACTGTCAGGCGGGGGGTGGGGTGGGGGTGTTACCCTGTTGTTTGTAAGTGTAGACTTGAAAAAGTACATATTGTTAAAAAAAAAAAAAAACATAGGTAATACCCCACTAAATCTAGAGAACACACTGGCTTCAGACTACACTGAGAAAAGAGCAGCTACATTTCTTGGAAATGGGAAGTCGAAAAGAAAACTTTTTCTTCTCTTTGTAATGAATATTTATCTGCATAAAATAACATTGAGTCATACAGTGTATAAACCATCAATATATTAAAAAAACATGATTATGAATAAATTAGTTATCAACCAAATAAATTATTTCCTGTTTATAGAATTCTGCTGTTACAAATTGTATATACATCTAGCTAGGTATATTCTAACAGAATACTAGTATTACATGTACAATGTGCTTCAAAATCTCGTCTTTTCTCCTCCTAGACTCATAAATTCTGAAAACGACCGATAAAACTAAAATACCGTAAATCATTGTGTGTATGTTACATGGATGCTAGTTAACAAGGGGAAAAAATCACCAAAACTCTTCGTTTTAGAATTTAATGCGAGTATTTGATTTTCAATAAAAATAAACGAAAGTACAAGTATATATGTGCTAAAAGTGTCGGAGAAATAGATAAGTCCCGCGGTGTACATACTGTTGTATTAATGTGGGAACGGTGGTCTTGTCCTTAGGGAACTTGGTGTCTGTTACATTATGCAAATCGACAGAAAGAAGGGAGCGGGGGGGGGGGGTTAAGCATGCGCGGACCTAAAGGGGGTCTGGACCCCCCCCCCCGGAATTTGCAGAGTAATAATATAATTATGTAAATACTGAAGCAAATAAGAAATGACCATTGATTTGATTTGAACATATTTTATTGTAATAATACATACAAAAGGATTGGATACAAGTTCTTTCAACTTAATAAATCCTCTCCTTATTATACAAACAATGAATACAATATGATTGTCATAACCATCCCCCCCATAGAAAACTTGAACCCCACCACCACGAAATAGATGTTTTTCGGGTTTGGGAATGGACTTTATCTTTTTTTTTGGCATACGAAGAAATTTTCTGAGTTTGAAACTTTTGGGAAAGGAGTTAAACTTTTTTTCTTTGCTTCTCAAGAAATTTTCTGGGTTGGAAATTATCCCATACATTTACAGAGTCTAAAATTCTGACGGCGATAATATCCCTTGACATCGATAAATTTTCCCCGCATAGTACAAGAATCCTTAATTGAGATGGCGATATTATCCCTTTGATATCGATTACATTCCTCGTAGAGTACAGGAGTCCTTAAGGTGAGACGACACGTTCCTCAAAGATATATTTTGTATACCTTGGTATTATATATAAAGAATTATTCATAATTGTCATTCTCTTGTGATTTCTAAATTGTTTTCAATATATTTTAAAAAATAAGTACACCAAAAACTGTGATTTCTGGCAATTGAAAAGATTACCCCTAAGGATTGTATAAGAAATATCACCCTCTGGTATCTTGCTCAAATGCTTGGTAAGGTACCTCAATTTTTTGTGAGGAAACTTATTTAAATAGCAATATTTCAATGACAAATTCTTGGAAAAAATTATAATATATTTTCGAAGAACGTGTGGTCTGACCTTAACTGTGACGGCGATGATATATATCCCTTGATATTAATAACTTTACCCCGTACATAAAATGGGTGACGGTGACATAAACCCCTTGATATCGATAATCTTACCCTTTTTAACTGTCCTTAACTATACAAGTCCATAGCTGATATTGATAAGCTACCCCGCACGGTAGTCCTGTAGTGTTATAGATAAGACTAAAATATAACTATACAAGTCTATAGCTGATATTGATAAGCTACCCCGCACGGTAGTCCTGTAGTGTTATAGATAAGACTGAAATATAACTATACAAGTCTATAGCTGATATTGATAAACTACCCCGCAAAGTAGTCCTGTAGTGTTATAGATAAGACTGAAATATAACTACACAAGTCTATAGCTGATATTGATAAGCTACCCCGCACGGTAGTCCTGTAGTGTTATAGATAAGACTAAAATATAACTACACAAGTCTATAGCTGATATTGATAAGCTACCCCGCACGGTAGTCCTGTAGTGTTATAGATAAGACTAAAATACCGTAAATCAGTTAACAAGGGGAAATCATCAAACTCTTCGTTTTAGAATTTTAGGCGAATATTTGATTTTTTATTAAAAGCAATAAAAGTACAAACATGGATGGCTTAAAAGAATATTGGTGTGAAATGTACATAACATGTGGTTGTTATTTGTGAAATGTACATAACATGTGGTTATTATTTGTGAAATGTACATAACATGTGGTTGTTATTGGTGTGAAATGTACATATCATGTGGTTGTTATTGGTGTGAAATGTACATAACATGTGGTTGTTATTGGTGTGAAATGTACATAACATGTGGTTGTTATTGGTGTGAAATGTACATAACATGTGGTTGTTATTTGAGAATTGTACATAACATGTGGTTGTTATTTGGGAAATGTACATAACATGTGGTTGTTATTTGGGAATGTTGGTCTTGTCCTAAGAGACCTGTATGTCATTTACATGAAGGGGGGGGGGATTAGGGGATTCATAACAAGGTCTATAAAATGTTCCCATGCAGAGTGAAAACTACTGCATATATTAACTGAACCACGTATTTTGTATGACGTTTTAAATAGGCAGTAAATAGTAGCTTGCAGTTAAAGATATTTTAAAGGTTGAATTGTCAAACAAGTTTACAGTCGATTAATAGGTCAAAGGAACATATATATATTCGCACACTTTTATTTTTAACTCAAACGTAGACAGAATTTAGGTGACAAAGCTTTAAATATACAGGTAGAACAATGAAATTCTAAAAGAAAAAAAAAACTTGATATGTGAAAAGTAGGTTTTCCCACACAGTCTGAAAGTCGTAGTGATGCTTCAAATATAGACGTATAGCGAGCGATAAAACAGAATATTTCAGGACTACTGTACTGGGAGTGATTATCAATAACAACTATAGACTTGTATACGGGGTAAGATATCAGTATCGAGGGGTTTATGTCACTGTCACTCATTTAATGTACGGGGTAAAGTTGTCATATTGTAATTTTTGAATTTACCGGGTGGTAGTAAATACAAAGATTACAATATGACAAAGTTATCAATATCAAGTGATATCATCGCTGTCAAAGTGAAGGACTCTTGTAATGTACGAGGTAAGGTTATCGATATCAAGGATTAATATCGCCCTTACTGTTAAGGACTCTTGTAATGTACGAGGTAAGGTTATCGATATCAAGGATTAATATCGCCCTTACTCTTAAGGACTCTTGTACTCTACGGGGTAGAATTATCCGACTTGTGGTAATTGTGTCATTAAGGAAAATACATCGTGACCTATATCAAAAATGTATAGAGAAATAGATGTCAACTCCTCCAAATTTTTCCTGTTTTCCTTTCTTTTTTTCTTATGTATACATGTAATTATTTGTATATTTAGAATTTGCTTTTTTTACTAAAGTCGCAGTTCGTAATTATTTAGGTCAAACAGAGTTGAAAAAAACTTATTTCAATTGTAGACTAGCACGACCTAAAGAGGAAGATGGAATCATTGTCTGATAAAGAAAAAATGTAATTATATGTACACAAACAAATCTATTTCAATATCTATGTAAAGTTACACACATCTTTTTTATGTTCAGTGCCGAGGGACTTTAAATAATGTCTACTTATATTTATTCTAGAACATATACAATGGTCTATAAGCTTTACCAAATGGGATAGAGCAGAAGTTTCTAGTAAAAACTTAGTGCACTCTTTCACTATATCTTAAGGACAAATGATACAAAAAAAAATGGATGCCTGGATTGGGATATACTTTTTGACCTATTTTAGTTGAAAATGATGCAAATGATAAATTTAATATCAAGAAATAGTAAACTTTCTATAATGTTCACAATTCTACATTTCTGCAACCCTCCTTATTAATCTATACAACTTTTTGTCACTACAGCCCTCCTTATTAATCTTTTTGTCAGTTTAATTTTCATTATTGTGAAACCTTGGACACAAATTAAAATTTATGCAATATAACTTATTCATTTTACTTACATAAACATGACTTCAGTTGTTATTTTCAAACTTTTTTGATAAAAATACGTTTTTTCACTGTGTATCATCTGTCCTTAAATAGGACAAACATTTTTAAATATACATTTTGTACATTCTCGACAGCTGTTTATAACTAGGGTGTTCACATTGCTGGGGTCAAATCTGTGTTATTGTGGCACATGAGGACAACTCCCGTACGGGGGGCACCTGTTTTATATAGGCATTTGGAGAAATATACCGACATCTTCCAACCTAATTATTTTTTTTCTCGGCCGG